CGCTGTGACAGGTAACGTCTCCTCGATGACGCTGCAGCGCGTGAGCGGCGTCTCTTCACGCCTGCAGCTGTGAACAGGTAACGTCTCCTCGATGACGCTGCAGCGCGTGAGCGGCGTCTCTTCACGCCTGCAGCCGTGAACAGGTAACGTCTCCTCGATGACGCTGCAGCGCGTGAGCGGCGTCTCTTCACGCCTGCAGCTGTGAACAGGCAACGTCTCCTCGATGACGCTGCAGCGCGTGAGCGGCGTCTCTTCACGCCTGCAGCCGTGAACAGGTAACGTCTCCTCGATGACGCTGCAGCGCGTGAGCGGCGTCTCTTCACGCCTGCAGCTGTGAACAGGTAACGTCTCCTCGATGACGCTGCAGCGCGTGAGCGGCGTCTCTTCACGCCTGCAGCTGTGAACAGGTAACGTCTCCTCGATGACGCTGCAGCGCGTGAGCGGCGTCTCTTCACGCCTGCAGCTGTGAACAGGTAACGTCTCCTCGATGACGCTGCAGCGCGTGAGCGGCGTCTCTTCACGCCTGCAGCTGTGAACAGGTAACGTCTCCTCGATGACGCTGCAGCGCGTGAGCGGCGTCTCTTCACGCCTGCAGCTGTGAACAGGTAACGTCTCCTCGATGACGCTGCAGCGCGTGAGCGGCGTCTCTTCACGCCTGCAGCTGTGAACAGGTAACGTCTCCTCGATGACGCTGCAGCGCGTGAGCGGCGTCTCTTCACGCCTGCAGCCGTGAACAGGTAACGTCTCCTCGATGACGCTGCAGCGCGTGAGCGGCGTCTCTTCACGCCTGCAGCCGTGAACAGGTAACGTCTCCTCGATGACGCTGCAGCGCGTGAGCGGCGTCTCTTCACGCCTGCAGCTGTGAACAGGTAACGTCTCCTCGATGACGCTGCAGCGCGTGAGCGGCGTCTCTTCACGCCTGCAGCTGTGAACAGGTAACGTCTCCTCGATGACGCTGCAGCGCGTGAGCGGCGTCTCTTCACGCCTGCAGCTGTGAACAGGTAACGTCTCCTCGATGACGCTGCAGCGCGTGAGCGGCGTCTCTTCACGCCTGCAGCTGTGAACAGGTAACGTCTCCTCGATGACGCTGCAGCGCGTGAGCGGCGTCTCTTCACGCCTGCAGCTGTGAACAGGTAACGTCTCCTCGATGACGCTGCAGCGCGTGAGCGGCGTCTCTTCACGCCTGCAGCTGTGAACAGGTAACGTCTCCTCGATGACGCTGCAGCGCGTGAGCGGCGTCTCTTCACGCCTGCAGCTGTGAACAGGTAACGTCTCCTCGATGACGCTGCAGCGCGTGAGCGGCGTCTCTTCACGCCTGCAGCTGTGAACAGGTAACGTCTCCTCGATGACGCTGCAGCGCGTGAGCGGCGTCTCTTCACGCCTGCAGCTGTGAACAGGTAACGTCTCCTCGATGACGCTGCAGCGCGTGAGCGGCGTCTCTTCACGCCTGCAGCTGTGAACAGGTAACGTCTCCTCGATGACGCTGCAGCGCGTGAGCGGCGTCTCTTCACGCCTGCAGCTGTGAACAGGTAACGTCTCCTCGATGACGCTGCAGCGCGTGAGCGGCGTCTCTTCACGCCTGCAGCCGTGAACAGGTAACGTCTCCTCGATGACGCTGCAGCGCGTGAGCGGCGTCTCTTCACGCCTGCAGCTGTGAACAGGTAACGTCTCCTCGATGACGCTGCAGCGCGTGAGCGGCGTCTCTTCACGCCTGCAGCTGTGAACAGGTAACGTCTCCTCGATGACGCTGCAGCGCGTGAGCGGCGTCTCTTCACGCCTGCAGCCGTGAACAGGTAACGTCTCCTCGATGACGCTGCAGCGCGTGAGCGGCGTCTCTTCACGCCTGCAGCTGTGAACAGGTAACGTCTCCTCGATGACGCTGCAGCGCGTGAGCGGCGTCTCTTCACGCCTGCAGCTGTGAACAGGTAACGTCTCCTCGATGACGCTGCAGCGCGTGAGCGGCGTCTCTTCACGCCTGCAGCTGTGAACAGGTAACGTCTCCTCGATGACGCTGCAGCGCGTGAGCGGCGTCTCTTCACGCCTGCAGCTGTGAACAGGTAACGTCTCCTCGATGACGCTGCAGCGCGTGAGCGGCGTCTCTTCACGCCTGCAGCTGTGAACAGGTAACGTCTCCTCGATGACGCTGCAGCGCGTGAGCGGCGTCTCTTCACGCCTGCAGCTGTGAACAGGTAACGTCTCCTCGATGACGCTGCAGCGCGTGAGCGGCGTCTCTTCACGCCTGCAGCTGTGAACAGGTAACGTCTCCTCGATGACGCTGCAGCGCGTGAGCGGCGTCTCTTCACGCCTGCAGCTGTGAACAGGTAACGTCTCCTCGATGACGCTGCAGCGCGTGAGCGGCGTCACCTTTTCGCACCTCGTCACGTCGCGCTGCCTCACGCCCGGCCGGCTCAAGGCTGTGAACGGCGTCTCTTCACACCTGCAGCTGTGAACAGGTCGCGCTGCCTCACGCCCGGCCGACTCCGGCTGCTCCTCTCAGCGCTGAGGCGACACTTCCTAGACACTTCCTAGACACTTCCTAGACACTTCCTAGACACTTCCTAGACACTTCCTAGACACTTCCTAGACACTTCCTAGACACTTCCTAGACACTTCCTAGACACTTCCTAGACACTTCCTAGACACTTCCTAGACACTTCCTCTCTGCGCTGAGGCGACACTTCCTAGACACTTCCTAGACACTTCCTAGACACTTCCTAGACACTTCCTAGACACTTCCTAGACACTTCCTAGACACTTCCTAGACACTTCCTAGACACTTCCTAGACACTTCCTAGACACTTCCTAGACACTTCCTAGACTCCTCCTAGACACTTCCTAGACACTTCCTCTCTGCGCTGAGGCGGCTGCACTCCTCCGAGGGGGTGGCCTAGACACTTCCTAGACACTTCCTAGACACATCCTAATAGGCGGCTGCACTCCTCCGAGGGCGACCCGGCCTCGCTCCTGCCCGAGACTGAGGTCGACCTGGGCGCGAACTACCTGCCCAAGCTCCGCAAGCGCTACTCGACCCACGAGTCGCTCTACAAGTCGCTCTGCCCGACGGCGCCGCAGATGCACGCCAAGATCTGCTCGGAGCTGGAGCTCTACATGGCGTCGAGGCGGTTCCGCCACGCGCGCGTCATCCACGGCGACCCCGTCTTCTCGAACGTGCTGCTCACCGACGCGCCCTCCGTCTTCCTGCTCGACATGCGCGGCGAGGTCGGCAGCACGCTCACGCTGCAGGGCGACATGCTGTACGACCTGTCCAAGGTGTACCAGTCGCTGCTCGGCTACGACTTCATCATCCTCAACCAGCCGCTCAACGAGCGAGACGCCGAGATCCTCGAGGAGCTGCGCGGCGAGTTCGCCACCTTTGTCGCCGCGGAGTACGCCGACGAGGGCGTCGAGATGCACGACGTCGTCAAGCTGACCGCGTCGCACTACTTTGGCATCGTGCCGCTCCACCAGAACCAGAGCCACCGGCTCGCGTACCTCGAGACGTGCAAGGCGCTCCTCTCGTCGCTACCGCCGTAGGGCCTGGCGCCGCTGCGCGGAGGGGGAGCGCGGGAGCGAGCGAAAGGGGACGTGGCGTATGTGTGCGGGGTTAAGGAAGGAACTCGCGCGTTTGCAGAAACTTCCCTCTCTCGGCCTGAGTACGTGCTTTACAGACAGTGTGCACGGTAACCGCAGATAGTGAAGGGCGCACGCGTCACGCGGCGTGCGGGGCCGAGGGCGCACTCTGCTCTCTGGACCGCCACAGCCAAGGAGACGCTGCAGTCGGGAACGGGATGGTCTTCGGCGCCCATCCCGACAGGATCAGCATGCTCTTCTTCCTCTCGTACGTCAAGGCGGCGGGCGGGCTGGTGCAGCTCCTCGAGACCCGCGGCGCGGCGCAGGACTCGACCCTGCGGGGCGGGGCGCAGCAGCTCAGCGAGCGGCTCCGCGGGGCGGTCGAGGCGGCGGGTGGGGAGGTTCGCCTCGGAGCGCAGGCCGAGCGAGTCGTGGCCGTCGGTCCCAGCGGCTCGCTCCTCGGGGTGGAGTGCCGCGGCGGCGGCCCGACCCTCCGAGCCCGGGCCGTCGTGGTCGCGCTCTCTCCCAAGGTTGCGCTCGAGAGCATTTGCTTCGAGCCCCGCCTCCCCGAGCGCCGGCGGCAGCTCGTCGGGCAGCTCGCGCTTGGCGCGTGCAGAGGGGCAGGGGAGGCGATGTCGCGGGATCAGCCGAGGTATGCCGAGGTATGCCGAGGCTAGGCGCGTACAGCAAGTTCGTCCTCGTCTACGAGACGGCGTGGTGGCGCGGCGGCGGCCTCTCGGGCAGCAGCATCTGCTCCGACGCGAGCGAGGAGTGGCCCATCTTCGCCACGTTCGACTACGTGCACGAGGCGCACGGCGAGCAGCGGCGACTGCACGTGCTCGTCGCCTTCGCCACGGCGGAGCTCGCGCGCGCCACCGCCGAGCTCAGCCCCGAACAGCGGCGGGCGCGCGTCGTCTCGAGGCGTGCGTCGGCCGCATGCTTGCGAGCGGGCGCGACAGCGAGGCGGCGGCGCGCCCCCCGCAGTGCGTCGAGTTCCTCGAGAGGCAGTGGAGCGAGGACGGCTTCGCGCGCGGCTGCCCCGTCGACCTCGTCCCCGCCGGGCTGCAGCCGGCCGGCCCGCCCTCCTGGAACGTCGCGCTGGCGCGGCCGTGCGAGGTCGTCGGCGCCGCCGATCGCTGCGGCGGGGCCCGCCTCCCTATCGGAATAAGTATTCTTGTATTCCAACTGGCGCTCGGGAGGACACTTACTCAGCCGCATTCGGCCGTATTCCGCCGTGTTCACTGGATTCGAACCCTCGCCTTCAAGCGGTGCTCTGAAGACGCTGCACGACACCGTAACCCCGCCCCGAGCCTGGTGTCTTCAGCACGTAGGCACGCCTCTTCTTCGCGTCCACGGACACGGCGACGAGCTGGACGGGGTACATGGAGGGCGCAGTGCAGGCCGGCGGGCGCGCCGCGAAGGAGGTGCTCGCCCATCTCGCTGCCGCGACGAGCCCTTCGGAGGAGCTGGGCGGCGGCGGCGGCGGCGGCGGCCAGCTCCAGTGGGAGGACGTCGGGGCCGGCGCGCCAGAGTCAATTTCCACCGCACGCTGCAGCTTCCCTTGGATGGCCGCCGCACGTTCGTGAATCAACTGTGTACCGCCGCACGTCACGATTGTTTCTGTATTTCCGCCCGCGCGAGAGCGGAGCTCGCACGTCGCAGTCAGCCAATTCCTAGTAAAGCTACGTACATGTGGTTCATGTGCGCGAGCCGAGAAGAAGGAAGATCGCGCAAACATAAAACACAGAGACAGAGCGTTTGGCTGTCGCACGCAGCCAGCAGCGAGCAGGTTCGTGTGTGGCTTGTAAAGCTCGGCCTGCGCTGAGCGTGCAGATTGCCGCTGCAATTCTTTGTGTCATGAAGCGTAAGAGCACTAAGCAGAGCCGCCGCGCCCTGCGCCCCGCCCACCCCGCCCGCCACGTCCACGCCCCCCTCGCCCCCCTCGCCCACCGACCGCCGCCGTGGCGCCTGCAGGCTGAGCCTGGGGCACGGTGCGCGAGGGCGGCTGGTGAACAAACGTCGTCTGCGCCGCCACCAGCCGCCCAGTTGCGGCTATGGGCAGCGCCGGCTGGCGGCAAGCCGGGCAGTTGGTGTCGCGCTCCAGCACGCGCGGCACACAAGCCTCGCAGTACAGCGCGTGGCCGCACGCGAAGCGGACCGAGCGCGGTGCGTCGTAGCAGAGGTCACACTGGCGCTCCTCGGCCCCAGCCGTCTCCTCCACCGCCCCCGCCGCTTCGACAAGCGCCTCCAGCCGCGGCAGCGCCTCCGCGAGCGGCATCCGCTTCTTCTTCTTCACGAGAGCCAGCCCGACCACCAGCCGCGTTAGCTCCTCGGCCTGCGCCGCCGACCAGCCCGCGACGGCTCCACCGCCCAGCATCTGAGACATGAACGCGAGGTCAAATTCTGGCACGTACGGCGGCAGCTCAGGCATCTGCCTCTGCCCCCTCGCCGCATCGACGAGCGCGCTCGTGTCAGCTCGCAGCTGCTCCTGGTGCCGCTGCTTGGCCGCCGCGCTCGCACTCGCTCCGCTCGATGACATCGTGAGGCACAACGAACTGCGAGCTCCTTAGTCCTTTCGCCCAGCGGGTCCACCACAGAGTTCTCCCCATCATGTGCCCAAATGCGCCCGCCGTTTTTCGTCATACCCCCCCCCCTGGAAACCCGCCGACTTTGATTGGGTCCGGTTCAACCTCACTCTCATCTTTATACTTACAGACACAGAACGTCAGATCTTGCGCCACCCAGGGCTGGACCTAGTCCGGCGCACGACAAGCTCGCGCGTTTTCTTTTTCTATTTTCAGAGTATGTGATGAGGCACTAAAAACGTGTAAAGAACATACCCGAAGCGCGAAGGTGGACTGCTCACTTTTAACATGACGGGGGGGAAGATGACGAGGGGCAAGCCGCACGCGCGCCCACGTTGTGCTATCCACCAACTATTCGTGTGAGTGCACGAGGTGCTCGATGCACGATGGTGCAGACCCAGGCTTGCGCCCGCATCAACCATCATCGTCCGCGGCCTAGCTACAGCAAGGCAGCACATAGCGCTGTCCGTGCCGTCGCCATCGGTGCAACCTCCTCCCAAGCATTCGTAAGCGGGTCGAATCGTACTACCGCGTTGAGAACGTCGACGTTCTCGACCTCCACATTCTCGCCGCCCAGCGCATACAGCTTGCCGTCGAGCACCACCATGCCGACACAAGCCCGCGACACCGCCATCGGCGCGACCGCCTCCCACGCGTTCGCTGCCGGGTCGTACCGCTCGACCGAGTTGAGGTGGCCGTCGTCGTCGTTGTAGCCGCCAACAGCATAGACCTTGCCGTCGAGCACCGCCACGGCGTGAGAGTTCCGCGCCTCTTCCATCGGCGCCACCGCCTCCCATGCGTTCGTCGCGGGATCGTACCGCTCGACCGAGCTGAGGGCGCCGGCGCCGAAGCCTCCAACAGCGTACAGCTTGCCGTCGAGCACCGCCATGACGTGAGCAATCCGCGCCGTCCCCATAGGCGCCACCGCCTCCCACGCGTTTGCTGCCGGGTCGTACCGCTCCACCGAGCTGAGGTCGTCGTCGTCGTTGAACCCGCCCACAGCGTACAGCTTGCCGTCGAGCACCGCCATGGCGTGATTAATCCGCGCCTCCGCCATTGGCGCGACCGCCTCCCACGCATTCGTCGCCGGGTCGTACCGCTCCACCGAGCTGAAGTATTCGTCGCCGTAGTTGTTGCGACCTCCCACAGCGTACAGCTTGTTATCGAGCACCGCCGTGCGGACATTCGTTCGTGCCGTTGGCATCGGCGCCACAGCCTCCCCCTCCCACTCGTTTGTTGACGCGTCGTACAGCTCCAGCGAGTTGAGGAACTCGCCCTCTCTGTCTTGGCCGCCAAACACGAGCACGCGCGGCCTCTCGCGCTTCTTCAGCGTTTCCTTCCAGCCGCGGCGCCACGCGCGGCATGTCCCCTTGACGGCGTGCTCCGTGGTCGGCAGCTGGGCGAGGATGTGCGGGGCGAGGTCCGGAGAGAGGAGGACCTCGGAGAGCACCCACTCGGGCTGCTCCACGAGCCGTGCGGCGTGCTCCTCCGCCACGCGCATTGCGGCGGCGCTCCAGAGGGGCGCCTGCTCGTCGATGAAGGCGACAAGCTGCTCTGGCGAGAGGCCAGACAGGCGGGCGCCGATGCGGTGGGAAGCCATCGGTGTGGGCGTCAAAAAGAAATCGCGCGCCATCTTGCAGCAAATCCGTAAGAGTGACATGGATTCCGGGTGACACAGTGGGATGTGTGTGGGTGGGTGGGTGGGGGGGGGGGGAGTGGTGTGACTGCTCCTGTCGTGCGTGAGCTCTTTTTTCTAGGCGGGGCCCCCCGGAGGCACCGTGCGCCGCGCAGCAGTGCGGAAACTGGGAGCCGGCTCTATTAGTCTCTATTAGCACCGGCTTCCCGAATGATCACGGTTGATCATAGGAATAGCCGCCAGAGAGCCGATTTTGGCCCCCAAAGTTGTGAAATCGTGGCTGAAAGTCCACTATCTTGGAGAATCTGACCAGTCTCAATGCTCATATAGCTCCACAGGATGATTTCCCCCTCGAAAATGCTCGAAATGAGGCGTAAAATCAAGGGCCCGGAGGGTCTGACCACGAGTCTCTGCACTGGGGGGGTCTTCCACGACACCCCCCCCCAGCAGCAGGGTGACTTTAGATGTGTGCAGCGTGCAGGCCAGGGGGGGCGGGGGGGGCCCGGGGGGGGGGCCGAGCAATGTGTGCGGCCGCGCGCTCCTGACAAGCGCCACAAGGCAACTTTATCTCACGTAGAGAGCTAGCTCTATAGGAAACCATCTTTTGAAACGTTTCAATGTTGAGGATCATGCATCAATGTCGAGGATCATGCATTGGTCACTAAGCTGTGTATGGCGGCCCGTCGCCGCGACTCGACGCCGCGCCGCTCTCCCTCTCCTCTCCGCGCGTCTCCTCACCGCCGTTTCACCTTGCCGCACGTGTGCGGCCGGTGCTTGCCGGCGCACGCCTCGCACGATGGGGACGGCGTCCACTCCTTTGGCGGCTTCGGCGGCTTTGGCGGCCGCGGCTCCACAGGCGACGGCTCGGCGCTGCCGGAGAGCTCCCACGGGAACTGCACCGCCAGCGGGGCGGGGCGCCTGAAGCCACCGCCGCCGCCGCCGCCGCCCTCGCCGCCGCTGCTGCTCGCCGCGTCGGACGACCTGCCCGCCGCCCGCGCCACGCGGCCCGACGTCTCGACGTAGTCCCACCGCCAGCCCTCCCTCTCCATCAGGTGGCGTAGCACCTGCGCGGAAAGCGGAGGGCGGAGGGCGGGGGCGGGTCGGCGTGAGACGAGGCCGGCCCGCCCGGCGCGGCGGGGCGGCGGGGCGCGTCTCGCGGCGGCACCTCTCCGTCCTCGTACTTGATGGTGTGGCCCTCGGCGGCGCTGCTGCTGAGCACGAGCCCGCGGAACCAGCGCTTCTCAGCCGGCCACCATACGCGGACGCGGCGGCCGGGCAGCGGCGGCGGCGGGTCCTCGCCGCCCGCGCCGCCGCTGCCGGCGCCGCTCGCGCCGCTGCCGCCGCCACTCCCGCTCGCAGCAGCCGCCGCGCCGGCCGCCGGCCGCTTGCGGCGATATTTCGGTTTGCGCGTGGCGTCGCCGTCGGAAAAGACGTCGGCCTCGTACGCGCGCGCCACGTACTCGCGCCAGAGTGCGCGCACCTCCTCCTCATCCTTCATCGGGAGCCTGCCCCAGTCGGCCGCCAGGTTGACGAGAAACACGTACGGCGAGGTACTCCCTTGATTTGCCAAAATAGGCATTTTTTCGGTGCTCCCCGCACCCCTAACGCGCGCGCGCAGCGCGCGCTAGGGGTGCCGCAGGCACCCCTAAGCGGCGCGCAGCGCCGGCGCACCCTTAAAACGCGCCAGCGGCGCGCAGCGCGCGCTGGCGGCGCGCAGCGCCGCCGCAGGCGGCGGACAGCAGGGGCGCAAAATTAAACGCCATTTTCGGTTTCGCACTTTTGCCAAAATCTTGAAAATCCGGTACAAATCGACTTATGAAATTTTCCCCAGTGGCTTCAGCTCGGTTCCTCCCGCGGGGATCCACAGCTCACGAGCGGAAGGGAGAGAGACTGGGAGAGATCACAGGCCAAGGCAGCCGTGCCCGTGGCCGGTGAGCTGCGAGCTGCGGATGTTGTTGCGGACGTTGTAGCTTGCGGCGCAGCCCTCGGAGCAGAAGGGCGAGTCAGGCCGCGGCTCGTGCTCGTGCACGCACGGAGGCAGAACGGCCGCCCCGAGTGGAGCGAGAAGTGCTGCCGCCAAACGCGCGGGTCTTGCGCGCCTAGGAGCTTCCGAGAATACTCATGGAAGGCTTCTCTTCCCTCTCTCGCGGACCATCGCGCACCGCTCATCTTCCAGTCGCAAGTGATGTAGTCAATTTCGACGACTCCGGGCGGGCGGTGCGAATCCGCCCAACGCACGGCCTATGGGCGGATCGGTGGTGCGTCAAATGCATGTACCCGTGCACACGGCTCCGGTGGGGTGGAGCCCATCCCGACGGTCCAACGCCGCATTCTTGTTAGCCACGATTTGAGCTCGCTGCTCTTCCGACAGCTCGCTGCCGCCACTAGCGCTGCCGCTGGCGTTGTCGTCGGCAGCAGTGAGGCCGTCGTCATCTCCGCCGCCGCCGCCGCTGCCGCTGCTCAAGTCGCAGCTGTCCGAGCCGCCCAGGCAGTCGTCGTAACCGTCGTAATAACTGTCTTCCGCAAACGCCTCATCGTCCGACTCCAAGTCAATCACAAGGAGGGCGTCCATAGACACCTCACTAGACCCCACACACAGTCTCGTCCGTGCCTCGCCGGCCGGCGAGATTGCTAGAGGTGGAGCAAGCTGCTCTAGCCTCGCATGTCACTTACTGTCGTCTGTTGTGTCGTTGTGCCCTTGTTTGTACTCTTGGCACCGTGGAGTGCTGGGGGGGGCGACAGGGAGGATATGGCCTTGAGTCATGTGTTTGCCGACTCAGGGTGTGTGGCAGCCCGCTGGCTGTGTGTCTTGTGAGCTTGTTTGTGTCTGTGTGTCGCTCGTGCGTGTCGTCATCATCTGTCCAGCGTCCACCCATACCGCGTTGGTGTCCAGTCCGAGCCTGGCTGTTCTTCACCTTTCTACCTACCTACGGGGAGAGGACCCTGAGTTGACCAGGGGTTGTGCGCCGGGCCCTCCTGCTCGGCTCCAGCGAGTAGACAAGTGTTGTCATCAACAGAGTAGAAGGATCTGACCTCAGGGCCGATGTGACCAAGCGCTGGTAGCGTGGTTTTACCTCACACCCATGGTCTCACAGTGTGCCGGCAGTCGCCGAGCAGTGTCGCTCACACAAGCCGCAGCACAAGTGACTGAGGGCCAGTGAGGGCGAGCCCATCGCTGTCACAGCTGTGACAGCCGCACAGTAGGCTGTGTCAACTGTGCAGAGTGTGTGAGCAGCAGAGGAGCTGCTCTCCAGGCTTCTGTCGCAAAGAGGTGCATGCCACCGAAAGCGCTGTCGAGGTTCGCCGAGCGCGGCGCAGGTTGGAGGAAGCCGCCACCGACGAGCGCGTTGGACTTTTCACTCCGGACAAAGACGGGCACACAGCGGACGGTGCGGGGCGTGTGCCCGTCATAGTGGCGAGGCGCGGGACCGTCTGTGGCGAAGTGGGTCGCGTCCTCCGATTTCCTCAACTCACGGTCCTCTCCCTTTACCTACCTAGTGGGCCATAGTGGGCCACTGCCACCATTCTTTTTCTGCTCATAACAAATTGCCCTTCCCATCATATTTTAGTTACTGGGTCCTAATGGCTATGTGGGAGAAGTTTGGTCTTTGTTTCATGGGGGGATCTGGAGATATTCACGGCTAAAGTTGGTGCCGGCACGGCTCCCCTAGCCGGTCTCTCGGGGCAGGCCGGGAAGAGCCTCCAGGCCTTCTGTGGAGCTTAGGTAGGGTCCCCAGCCAGCCTCCAGCTGCAAGGCAGTCTCCAGGGGCCATGTAGCATGCCTGACATGACAGTGCAACCCACCCGGACACGGGTAGCGCACCAGAGAGGGCCAGATCCATTGCAGCAGCCAGCGCAGCAGGGCCCGGGGATCGGTCGCGGAGAGAGTTGCGGGCCGCTGGCGACCTCACACGGCGTCGCACGCCGTAGAGGTAGCCCCGAGAGACGCAGCTGGGTGTGTCGCGACCGCCGCCGCGAGGCTCGTGGCGACGGAGGCGCCGGCGCCAGCATGCGCCGCCTCCCTCAACGCCCGAAACTCGGTCACAGCCGGGGGAGCGACAGCGGCAGAGATGCGGGCCGCTGGCGACCTCACACGGCGCCAAGCGCCGTAGAGGTAGCCCCGAGAGACGCAGCTGGGTGTGTCGCGACCGCCGCCGCGAGGCTCGTGGCGATGGAGGCGCCGGCGCCAGCATGCGTCGCCTCCCTCAACGCCCGAAACTCGGTCACAGCCGGCGGAGCGACGGCGGCAGAGATGCGGGCCGCTGGCGACCTCACACGGCGCCAAGCGCCGTAGAGGTAGCCCCGAGAGACGCAGCTGGGTGTGTCGCGACCGCCGCCGCGAGGCTCGTGGCGATGGAGGCGCCGGCGCCAGCATGCGTCGCCTCCCTCAACGCCCGAAACTCGGTCACAGCCGGCGGAGCGACAGCGGCAGAGATGCAGCCGCCGGCGACCTCACACGGCGTCGCACGCCGTAGAAATGACCCCGAGAGACGCCGCAAGGTGCGTCGCGACCGCCGCCGCGAGGCTCGTGGCGATGGAGGCGCCAGCGGCAGCATGCGCCGCCTCCCTCAACGCGCGACACTCGGTCGAGGCTGGCTCGAACTGCTCGAGGCCAGCTGCCTGACTTGTATTGACAGCGAGTGTGTCGCCACTCGCTCCTGACCACACGTTGAGGGGGGCGTGGACATGTTAGCCCTCGGCAGCTGCGATGCGCACACACCTGTCGCACGGATCCAGCGGTGGTGGCGATATGCTGCTCGGCGAGCCAAAGAGAGCGTGCCACCGAGAGCGTGCCACCGAGAGCGTGCCACCTAGAGCGGAGTGCGCCGCCCTCCGCAGCGGGAGTCGGTTGCGGGTGGTGCAGCGGCGCCGTGATAGAACAACACGCAGCGCCAAACAGCGTCCGCCAGCGCAGAGAAAGGAGCCCGTGCCGACTCGTGCACGCCTGCGACAGCTCGAGTGGCTCAGCGCGAGTGCTGGCTCACATCCGGTCGGCTCACAGTGCTTGGGCAGCCAGGCTCACCGTCGGCGAGAGCAGCTGCGAGCGACACCACGTCGAGCCAAGGCGACGCTTTCTTCCGTGGCCGCCGCGGCTCGTTTCCGCCACGCGGTGGGGTGCGGCGGAGGCCGAGGCGTGCGCCAGCCGCGCTCGAGACCAGCAGGCGGCCTGGGAGGGCGCTCACACGCCGCGACGACCTCGGCGAAGCGAGGCGTCGCGCCAGGTCATTCACGGTTTTAACCCACAGCTGTGAGCGCTGTCAGAGCGGTGTTTCGACACCGATATCGTTCGAGGAGAACGCTGTTTGAAAATCCCTAAACGGCTACCGAAACGGGGTGTCCGGAAGGGCGATATCACGGCGGCCTGACTGTGCCTCCGTGTGCTCGCCACATACCCCCTGCTGCCCGAGGGTCGTGTTAGCACTTTATTGGGTACATACAGAGGCGGTGGGAAGCCACCACGTTCCCTTCAAAATTTCCGCCACAGAGCTCCGGAGCGCGCTCTGCACGAGCTCCTGGGGCGCGGTTTCGTCTTTCGATCCCAGAGACGGTCGTCGCACGTCGGCGCCCCCGTGAGGTCCGCCGTCAGGGCGTGTCAGGCATGGCCTGAGCAGGGATAGCGTGTCGGGCTTCACAAAAGGGCTGACGCGACCAGTCGAGCCGCTGCCACGTGCAAGCCCCGCAGAGGTGCGGGCGAGAGGGCGGCCCGAGCCCGAAAGGGCCCGCCCTCGACCTTGCTCTACATGGTAACGGATAAGAAGAGAAACACCCCCGACTCGGGACACGCTGTGGTTCAGACGCCTTCTTCCCGCGCGGTCTTTTCGCTGGTGGGGCACCGCTGCTCGCCTCGCCGCCTTCCGCCATCACGGTCGGCGCCTCGTCGTCGAACGCCTCCCCTCGCCCGCGCCGCCCAAGGACCGCCTCGCCTCCTGGGGCACTGCTGCTCGCCTCGCCGCCTGCCGCCATCGCGGCTGGCGCCTCGTCGTCGAGCGCCTCCCCTCGTGCCAGAATATGTGTCGTCTGATGTGTCACTGTGTACGTCACATCGGTCTTGATAACAAGCACGGTCGATCCGTCGAAGCGATATACTCGTCACGTCACGCTGGACGGCTTGCACGGAACTCTGTGCCGGCAAAACAGGAAGAGCCGTGCGGCAAGAAGAGCTCGATAGGGAGCGAGAATCGTCAAAGGTGCTCACACAGGTTTCGGACGTCCGTCCTGGGCGGTCAGTTCCCCCCAGGTTTGACCGCGCAGGTCTCAAAACTCGTCGAGCACTCGTAGCCTTTCTGCGACTCTCTGCGTGCTGCCGGCTCGGGAAGAGCAAATTTTGCAAGATATCTCAACGAGATCCGACATCTGCGCGGTCATTTTTGGAGTGATCTTACCGCGTCATGACGGAGTCTTGATACCTCTCGGAGCACCTCTAACGGTTCTCGCTCCCTATCGAGATCTTCTTGCCGGACGGCTCTTCCTGTTTTGCGGGGCGCGCTGAGCTCTGTGTCAAGCTCGAAGGGCAACGGAAACGAGTGCATCGCTTCGATAGACCGACTGTGCTTGTTACCAAGACCGATCTCACGTACACAGTTACACTCCAGACGTCCTGTACTCTCCCATCCGACAACCGGCAAAACGCTGTCGTGAGCCAGCCGCTCTTGCGGCAGCCGTCAGCAGAGACCGAGCGCATCGGGCGAGTGATTATCGAGATGGCGAGCCGGCCGTGGGCCCGGACGACGGCGCTGGAGCGACAGATTTTGGCTGAGGCTCCGAGGAGGCGAGAGCGAGCTCTAGAGGTGAATCACGTGTTTTGGCTCTATAGTCCAGCTGGGCTCATCCCGGGCTCAGTTGGCTGGCTGTTGCGGGCATTAAGAAAACAGGATGGCGCGGCACGCCGCCGTTTCTAAGCCTTTCCACCCACCCCACCCACCCCACGCCGTGGTTTCTTAGCTTCGGCCGGCACCCCAGGTCAGCCGGGATCTAGGAATTTTTAGGTAAAATGACAATAAGGAAGCGCTGGACCGATGCGCCAGTCAGCAGTCTTGGGATGACAGGAAGACGCACACACCTCCATCCACACCGCTGAGGGGTGGCCCGTCTACCGTCTACCGGTAGACCGGGTAGACGGTAGACCGTTTGGTAGACGAGTCTACCGCAGTCTACCGGTAGACCGTATCTCATGAATACTTGATTTTTCACGCCGTGTAACAATCGTGATCAAATGGCCCTGCTGTGAGCTGGTACACCAAGAATGGCTTACCACTGCCAGGAGCCACACTGTGGCAAGCTGTGATGAGCGTGGTTTGGCTTGTGCAGCCCATACGGACGTGGTATATACACACATATGCGGCCACGTGTCGGCCGGTTCGGGGCACGAAATCCGGATTTTTCCACGGCGTAACAATCGTTGCTGTAGTGGCGCCAATGGCCGCCTCCCGTCGCGCCATTGGCACCCTAGCCAGCAGTAGCACCGGAGGCAACACCACCAAGCCCACAAGTCACAAGAGTGACGGAGATGCTTGCCACGAGCACCGTGACGCCCGACCCTGTGAGCACCGTGGGCGTATACGGCTGCATACGGTGAGATGATGCACAGCATGGCCAGACGAGGGATGCAAGGCTCGCCAGCTGTATGTTAGTGAGGTATATGGATGTGATCAACATGTGTGCGTCACAGGTACGCGCAGCAGCGCATGTAGCCGCTGAGATCGAAGACAGCGCAAACAGGTCTTTTTGCGCCACGCACCCGATGGCCGTGCTGGTCCAACTGCGTGCACAGGAATGCTATCAGCGCGTCTCCGCCATAACTGGACATGGCAATGAAGCAGCTGAGACGTGATAACACCGGTGCTGGGCTAAGGAGGTGCCGCTCACCGCCGATTGTTACGACTGTCGTCGAAGGCGAGCGGCGGTCGCCGGGCAGCAGCTCGTGGCGATCGTCGATCCGCGAGCTGCCAAGCTTGTCACAGGCTGGCACTGGATCGAGGACGATGGCGCCGCGCGGCTGGAGGCAACGGAGAAAGGCATTGTGGAGCGGCGAGGCGATTGTTACGAATTTCGAGGCGCGGAAAAATCCGACAGCCCTGCAAATCAAGTATTCAATATATAATGCCTTTTCCTTTAGACTTGGTAGACCGCGGTAGACTCGTCTACAGTGGGTTGCGGGCATTAAGAAAACGTCGCATTAAGAAACCCTACCAAGCGATTTCCGCAAAAATCTAAGAAACCACGGCGCGCCGCAGGCGCGGCCCCGAGAAAAGGCCAGACACCGAGTGTGGACGGGAGGCCCAGCTCAAAATTTCTCTTCGCCTGCGGCGCGCGCACTTGTCACTTTCCAAGTCTGCGGTGTTCTGTCTGAGTGGATGGAGTGAGAATGGAGGCGTGTGTGCGTCTTCCCGTCATCCAGACAGAGAGCCGACTCGGCGGCAGACTCTGGCATCGCCCTCGCGGACCGCAGCCCTAACCTCTTACCTAAAAATCCTTCGGGCCGGCGCTCTGGCTTGAGTGCCCCGGCCGGAGCTAAGAAACCACGGCGTGGGGTGGATGAGGGCTGTGGAAAGGCTAGAAACGGCGGCGTGCCCCGGAATCCTGTTTTCTTAATGCCCGCAACCTTGGAGCACTTGGAGTGCGGTCAGTAACCTCACGTCCAGGACCGGGGAGCTGAGAAGCGCACCCAGTTGGCCGGACGCTCGGCATCGGGTTACGGGCTAGAGAGCCCTAGCCCCGGGGGTGCGCGGTCGCAGGGCCATAACACGGGTCTCCGAGGGTTGGCTCCGCGCTCCGGGTTTCCCCTAGCAGCAGACCGCCCCCTCTACTCGGAGCTAAAGAATACTCTCCGAGGGTTGGCCCCGCGTACCGGGTTTCCCCTTAACTGCAGGACGCGCCCTCTACTCGGAGCTATACTACGAGAATACTCTCCGAGGGTTGGCCCGTGTACCAGGTTTCCCCTTAACTGCAGACGCCCCCTCTACTCGGAGCTAGTGTTTGTGATACGAGAATACTGTACGACCGCCTTCACGCTCTACTCGGAGCTACTGATACGAGAATACGCACCATCCCCACGCGATCCCTTACTCGAAGATAATACGAGATTACGCAGCTGCGAGGCACCTGTCGAGCAGCTTCCGAACCGCGGCGAGCAGCTTCCGCGGCCGTGGGGCGTGGGGGGGGGGGGGGGGGGGGAGGGGAGCCCAAAGGGACGCGGCGGTTCTATGGGCGGCGAAAGTCCAGAGAGAGGATTTGGGAAACGGCCGTGGCGGGTGGGGGGGGGGGGGGGGGAACCACGGAGGAAGGAGGGGAGGGGGGCGCCGAGGGGACGGGGGGCGGCGAGGGGAGGGGGGGCGGCGAGGGGAGGGGGGGCGGCGAGGGGAGGGGGGGCGGCGAGGGGAGGGGGGGCGGCGAGGGGAGGGGGGGCGGCGAGGGGGCGGCGGCGGTCTACCGTTCGGCGGCTGAAAAGGGGTAGACCAGTCTACCGCGGTCTACCAAGTCTACCGGTAGACTGGGGTCGTAGGTTCATTACGGTCTACCGGTAGACTGCGGTAGACTGCGGTAGACTCGTCTCTACCAAACGGTCCTACCGTCTACCCCAGTCTACCCCAGTCTACCGGTAGACGGTAGACGGGCCACCCCTCAGCCACACCGCCCAAGAGAGAGAGCTCTCTCACCGCCCAGAACACCGCAGACTTGGGCAAAATGACAAGTGCGCGCGCCGCAGGCGAAGAGAAAATTTGAGCGGGGCTCCTGTTCACACTCGTGTGTGGGCCCTTTCTTGGGGCCGCGCCTGCGGCGCGCCGTGGTTTCTTAGATTTTCGGTTTTCGCGGAAATTGCTTGGTAGGGGTTCTTAATGGGACGCTTTCTTAATGCCCGCAACAGACTGTACGTTTACGAAGGAGAGTCTCAACGTCAACCAAAAATGAAAGTTGAAACGGCGCGACCCGCCCCGCGGTCGCGCCCGCCGCCCGCGCGCCACACGGAAAGAGCGTGGCTAGCCATAGACCCGTTAACACTCGATTGACTTTCGAAGAGTGACACCGACTCACCGACCGGCAGCGGCACGGGCACCGCCCCGTGGTAAACGAAACGTACAAATAGAGACGATCCCTGCCTCCTCACGGCGCGCGAAGGCAGCCGCCCCGCGCAAGCCCGCATCGCGCGGGCGGACAGAGGTGCGGCGGCGGCGCGTAAAGACGCCCGCGCCCAAGAGGTGGGCTGCGCAGCGCATACAACAACACGGACGCATGTAGACTAGACGTCCGAATGCATCAGCTCCTCGCTGCCGTCACCCTTTTTCCCCGACCATGACATCACCTGTCGCGGCGAGGGCGGGTCGCGGCGTCATCGGCAGCAGCGGCTCGAAGGCGAATAGCAGCGGCGGCAGTGAGTGCGGGCTGTATTGGGTGGGCGCCGCCGCGCCTTTGCGCCGCAATAGAAGAGGTACACCGCATAGATTACGCCCGCGTAGAAGCACGCCATCGCCGACGCGTCGGCCCCCTCCTGCGTCCGGGGGCGCCGGCCGAGGCTGAGGCGAGGGCGCCACGCAGCGATCTTCGCAGTGGCCTGCGAACGGGTGCAACGGCCGCGCGCAGAGAGAACGGTTCGCGCGGCGCCTTTGAGACGCCGAGGAACCAGTTGCGCAGGGAATTGAAACTGGGAGGCGCACGCACCAGACCGAGCACTCCAAAGACGGAGAGGCCGGTGCAGAAGTACGCGCAGCACTCCTCGAGAGCGCCTGGCATGTCGGGAGAGGACACAGGCAGCACGGCACACGGCGCAGCCACAGAAATCGCTGATCTGTGCCAGCCGGCGACCGTACACCAAAAAAAGAATTTTACAACTAAACTCCCTCCTTTTGTGCAAAAAAAGACTGCGAAAAGAGATACGAGGAGGCAGACCCCCCAGGGTGGGCGACGGCTAGCGCATCACACCCTCCTCTCCTTAAAATCCCTGTGTGGTGGCGGCGTGCCGTTCTCCCATCCCTCCCTTGGGTTGTGTGTTTTCTTTCTTTCTTTCTTTTTGTGCAAAAAAAGAAAAAAACTCGCGGGTGTGATGTCCACTAGCTCCGAGTAGAGGGGGCGTCCTGCAGTTAAGGGGAAACCCGGTACGCGGGTCCAACCCTCGGAGACCCGTGTTTACTTTAACATCGCTTTTCCTCGGCGCTCGCGTCGAGCCGAGCTCTCGGCACTCTACGGCGGGCGTCGCTGTGCGGGGCGCCCGTTTCCTGCTGGCCCGAGCGGAAAGCTCCACGCGCCCGCGCGAGCTCCCGGCCGAGCCTCCAGCTCGGCGTCGCACTGCTGAGGAGCCGATCGTCGTCCGTCGGTGCTCTCGAGGAGCCGAGCTCCTTGGCCTGCGGCCGGCGACGCTGCAGGACGGCGCGCGCGCACCCCCCCTCCCTCACCCGCGCGCTCTTCCGCGGGCGGCGCACACGCACCCCTCGCCCCGGCGCTCTTCCGCGGCGCAGCCCCCCCCCCCCCCCCCCCTCGATCTCGCGGCGAGAGCACGAGCGCGCCGTCCTCCGGCGACGCGCCGCAACGCTCTTCCTTAGGTCGTCCTCCGAGATATCGGTGCCGGACCGGCGGGGCGGGGGCGGGGCGGCGTCGGAGCAAGTGTCTCGGCCGTCGGTCGACGGAGCGGCGACCCGCGAGCACGCTTCGTCGGCGCCCGACGAGGGTGGTGCCGCTGTCGCTCTGCCGCGTGCGCAGGCGTGCCTAGGCGTGCCGAGGTCTCGCGACGGCACTCAGCCCGAGCCCCTCCGGGCGCTCGATCGTATGCTCGTGGAGGCGTCGCGCGGCCGCAGTTTTCGCAGCGGCGGCCGCCGCTGCGGTGGATGCGGGCCAGAAAGAAGGCCGCGCGCGCGGCCAGGGGCCAGGGCTGGCTCTGGCTCGGGCGAGGGCGATCCCGGTTGTCCCTCCGCGGGCGCCTCTGGTCATGTCCGCTTGCTCGACGGCTGGGTTGTGCGTGCGCGCGACTCTCGAGGCGTCGGCGAGTAGTGTGCGCGGGCGGTGGGTGCCGTGGAGATTAGGGGAGACGTCGCTTTGAGCTGCGGGTAGCGGGACCGGGAGATGTTGGGAGATACAGACACGGCGGTACGGTGTCTGGAGTAACATCTCAGAGGTTGAGCAGCGCAGGGGGTGTGCACCTGCCCCCCCATCTCCGGTCCAACGAGTAGAAACATGTTTCCAAAAAGCAGCTACGCCCCGACACGACGACGACGGACGAGACTCACTCCCCTGGTCGCACACGCTCCCGAATTCGCACCATGGATCACCCCCCATCGCGCCCACACCTATGCCCGAAGGCGGTCAGCGTGGGGCGGAGAACGATCCCTGCGAGGACGAAGGTCATCACCTGTCGATCGGGGCAGTGGTTGTTATGCCGGAGAAGGGGAGAGAGGCAGAGGGGCAGAGAGCAGGAGAAAAAAACTCATCTCGCGCATGTAGGGCTCGAGGTGTAGGGTGTGGCAGAGCAAGGAGAGAGATTCCGTCACAAGGCAGTGGCTCAGCAGAGCACCGCCGACAGATTTCATTGTGTGGGGCTGTGGGCAGGTGGGGCGGTGCAACAGAGAGAGAGGCGACAATAGAACAAACAAAAAGAGGCAGGCTGCGGCGAGAGGTTAAAAGAAAGAAAGAAAGAAAGAAACCAGACAACCCAAGGGAGGGATGGGAGAACGGCACGCCGCCACCACACAGGGATTTTAAGGAGAGGGGTGTGGTGCGCTAGCCATCGCCCACCCTCCCGGCGCGGCGCGCGCCACCGCCCCCGGCGCGGGGCGGGATGTCAGTTCGTGAGTCCTGTGTCCCGTCCCTGTGCCCCACCTTCTTCTCCTGCGTCGGTCCCCGCGAACCCCACACTATATAGCGCCACCTCTCGTGAGCTGTCCTGTGAGCCGTGTGTTGTGCGTCTAGCCAGTCCGGACCCCAGTGCTACGGCCGGTGACCGCGTGCCTCGTGTCGGCTCCCGAGCCAATCGTGTGCAGCGTGTGTGTGTGCGTGTGGGCCCGTCCTCCATGCTAGGAGGTGTGTAAGACTGACTGACTGACAAAGCTAAGTCACCAACCTGGAGAAAGAAGAGGATCTCTCTTCCTGGTGTGTCGTCGTGGTTTCGTATCAAGAAACTCCTCGACCTGCCGCCCCTCGCGTGTGGCGCTCCTCGAGACCTCGCTCGTATAGGACAGGCTGCACCCGGCGGCACGGGGGCAGGTCGACGGGCGATCCCGGTTAGGACTCGGAATTCTTTTGGCTCCGGTGGTGTGCCGGTGATAGTACTAGCACGCGCCAGTTCGCACCTGTGTCGAGCCTGTCTGCTGTGAGAGAGAGTTGTTTTGTTTAAATTCTTTTACGAGTCCGACAGTAGGACTAGGATTCCTATACCACGTCGCGCTCAACACACAGAACGCAAGATGGCGACCGGCGGCGCTCCGCCTCTCACCATCATGATCCCGCTCGGTGGCATCGGCTCCCGCTTCCAGCGGGAGGGCTACACCTCGCCCAAGCCCTTCGTCAACGTCCTCGGCAAGGCGTGCTGCCGCCGCCGCCGCAGCAGCTGCACACCGCGCACTCTGCCGCGTCCTGCCAGCCAGTGGGACGGCTCGCTGTGCGGATACGCGTCGCTGCGGCCTCTCCGCGTGTGTCCACCACGGGTGCGTAACGTCGTCAGGCGATGATCCTGTGGGTGATCGACTCGCTCAAGACGCGGCCGGGCGACGCGCTGGTGATCGTGTACGACCCAAAGTTCATCTCTCCAAAGTACTGGGAGCCCGTCTGCTCTGCTCACCCGAACGTGTCTCTCGTCCAGCTGCCGGGCCCGACCCGCGGCGCCGCAGAGACGGTCCTGCTCGGGCTGCGAGGCATCTCTCGCGCGCTGCGCTCGCGGCCGGTGATGCTGGTCGACGGCGACACCTTCTACGACGAGGACATCGTCGGGAAGTATCGCGACATCTGCGCAACCTCCAACGGCGTGTTTTACTTTGTCGACACGCAGCCGCAGCCGCTCTACTCGTACGTCGTCTTCGACGAGGCGAGGCGGATCCTGCAGGTCAAGGAGAAAGTCAAGATCTCGGACCACGCTAACACGGGCTGCTACTCCTTCATGAGCGGCGTCGAGCTCGAGGCGCAGTGCCAGGCGCTGCTCGACTCGCAGACGACGCAGCTCTCGCAGGACGCGATCGGCGAGTTCTACACGTCGGGCGTCATCACGCAGATGATCGAGGAGGGGCACGCCTTCCGCGCCGTCGAGGTGGACCCGAAGCGGATGCACGTGCTCGGGACGCCGCCGCAGCTCCAGGCCTTCTGCCTCGCGCAGCAGCGGCAGCCCAAGCTGCGGATCTGCTTCGACCTCGACCACACCCTCGTCACGGCGCCTCGCGTCTCGGGCGACTACACCACCTGCGAGCCCCTCGCCGAGAACATCGCCGCGTGCCGCGCGCTCAAGGCGCAGGGGCACCACATCATCATCGCGACCGGGCGGCGGATGCGCACGCACGGGGGCAACACCGCCGCCGTCGTCGCCGACATCGGCGCCCTCACCCTGCGGCAGCTGTCCGACTACGGCATCCCGCACGACGAGGCGCGCGCCTGATGCGAGAGTAGACGGTAGGACGAGACTCGACGAGACGACGAGGCGCCGCTGCCCGGCTAGAGCATCCCGCAGGACGTGTCGGGGACTCGAGGAGATCTGGCCGAGATCCGGCCGAGATCTGGACGAGATCTGGCCGAGATCGGGCCGAGATCGGGCCGAGGCTTTTGACGGCCGCGGCTGCGACGCTCAGGTTGCGTTCGGCAAGCCGTACGCGCAGTTCTACATCGACGACCTCGCCGTCTCCGCCTTCAGCGATCTCCACAAGGCGCGTCGGCTTCTACCCCGGCTGACTACTTAGTACTGAATCATCCATATGAGTATACTCATCCATGGTTCACACCTCCACAAGGCGGTCGGCTTCTACCCCGGCTCGCCCGCGTGCGAGAGCGGCGCGCGCAGCGGCGGAGGAGGCGGCGGAGGCGGCGCCGCCGCAGCCAAGCCACTCAAGCCGGCGCTCGCCCTCTCTGCGGCAGGTGGCGAGCGGGCGGGCTCGCCCTCGTGGCTCGCCCTCCTCGCCGCGTTCGCCGTCGGCGTCGCCAGCGGCGCGCTGCTCGCCTCGCGCGGCGCTGGCGCTGCGGGCGCCGTCCGACGAGCCGCCGTCGCTGCCGCCGCGGAGATCCACGCGAGCTGAGGGTGTCGTTTGCGGGCGCGGCTCCGGCGTGGGACGGAGACAACGGGGCGGCAGGGGTGGGAGGGGTGAGAGAGGGATGTCTTTTGATAAGGGTTTCGGGGGTGATGCTGATATGGCGGCGTCCTCGAGAGATACGACGCGGCTGCGCTGCGTGTGAGCTGTGAGCTTCTTCTCTGTCACCTTTCAGTGCAGCATGCGGGAGAGATGAGTCCGTGTAATTTGATGAGGCGCCGTCCTTGTGGCGTGTGGGCACACACAGAGCGCTAAAGAAGAAGAAAAGCCCTTATGACCGCGGGGTGCGGTGGACCGTGCTGGTGCGCAGTGCAGGCGCGGTGGCGCGGCCGCGCGCGCAAACCGCAACACAGCCAAAATCCCAATGCCTGCGAAGCGCCACGTTTTCCCCACAAGACGCGCCTCGCCGCGGAGCCGCGTTGCCGCGAGCGCGCCGGAGTGTCTCACTGCCGACGGAGTGGGTGTGTGTCCGCGCGAGAGAGCCGAGCTGCGTTCGACTCTGAAGACTGTGTGTGTGTGTGTGTGTGTGTGTGTGTGTAGACTCTCAACGACCTCAAAGCCGCCCACGGCAGACGCAGCTAGCCGGCCTCCTACCTAGACCGCCTCAGCTGCCTCCGCCCCTAAGCCCGCCGCCCCTGGGGACTGGGCGGCGCCTGCAGACTAGGGACTGTGGCCCCGAGACTGTAAGCAACGTGATCATCACGCGCGAGTACCTGTACAGCACTGACCCAGAATTTGAGACGGTTGCACAGCCCGTCGCAAACCTATCGATGCAGGCGGCCAGGAACGTCACAAACCGCGACTGTCTTAACCAGACGATAATCTTGGATGCCGCAACCAAAGAGATCAGCGCACGGGTGACTGCCTAGCTTAGCCCACCGCTAGCGCGCCGAAAGAAGAACACGGGGGGGAGATTGCCTGGGAGGCGGAGATGGCACACGCGCACTCGCTCGCACTGTCTGCGCAGGTCACAGTCGAGATCGACAACGTCACCAATCCCGCGGATGCCGTTGAGGCGGTCGCAGATGCTCTAGCAACAGCCGACCTGACGATTCTCTCGCCGCCCCCATCGCCGCCGCCGCCCTCCACCTCGCCCTCACCGTCGCCACCAGCCTCTCCGCCGCCCGCGCCGCCGGCCCCGCCGCCGCCCACTCCGCCGCCGCCCACTCCGCCGCCGCCGTCGCTGTCGCCCTCGCCGCCGCCGCCCACTCCTCCGCCGCCGTCGCTATCGCCCTCGCCGCCGCCGCCCACTCCGCCGCCGCCGTCGCTGTCGCCCTCGCCGCCGCCGCCGGCCCCGCCGCCGCCGGCCCCGCCGCCGCCGGCCCCGCCGCCGCCCACTCCGCCGCCGCCCACTCCGTACCTGGACCTTTCGATGCGCTTCGGGAACGTCCCCACGACGAGCGCTAGCAACACGCTTAGCGATCAACCATCCTTGGATGGTGCAGGCCTCGTCATCAACGGCCCGGGACCTCTCGTTGGCGAGTGCGTGTACGAGCCGCCGCCGTTTCCACCTAGCTCTCCACCGGCTCCGCCGCCTCCCTCCACCTCGCCCTCGCCGCCGCCCACGCCGCCGCCACCCGCCCCTCCGCCGCCCACGCCGCCGCCGCCCTCCACCTCGCCCTCGCCGCCGCCACCGGCTCCGCCGCCTCCCTCCACCTCGCCCTCGCCGCCGCCGCCCGCCCCACCGCCACCCGTCCCCCCGCCCCCCTCGCCGCCGCCGCCCTCCATCTCGCCCTCGCGGCCGCCACCGGCTCGGGTGAGGGGGAGGGTTCTAGGAGGAGAGTCGAGCGAGGTGGGGAGGAGCGCAAGGCAGCACGGATCTGTGTGTGTGTGTGTGTGTGTGTGTGTGTGTGTGTGTGTGTGTGTGTGTGTGTGTGTGTGTGTGTGTGTGTGTGTGTGTGTGTGT